TGTTTGACATTTATCTTGTCAAGAAAATTTTTATGATTGATAAACTAAAACCTTCTTGTTGGTTCAACCTGCCATTATTATTTCTATTAAATAAAAAAATACATTTTGTAACATTGCACTGATGGGACAGAAAAATAAGCAAAACCTTCTTCGTTAGCAAACGTCACATTTATTTAAATGTTAGCAGCACTGTTTCTTGCACTGGTATGTTGGCAGGTTTGACTCTTACAGTACCAAGTGCAAGCGAAAACCGACACTAAGGTGACGAACCTTTTCATTCCGCGACTGTACAAGCCGACTGTTTGATGTCATTATTTTACATTAAAAAATCAACAATAATGTTAATTAAAAACTAGTTAACATGAAAGTAGATAGTAAGAGGTAGGTACTCTATGTTTATCTTGGGAAACAAACTTTTTAATCGCAAAGTTTTGTTAACTTTGTTTAAGGAAAAAAACCTTTGTTTCAAGAAACTAATGATACTTATCAGTATTCCACGAATAAGTACATCAAATAAGTACGTGAATATAAGAATCTTCTTTCATCACTTTGGTTGTCAACAACTGAAGTCACAACCCTGGCTTGATGTTACACTTTAGATTGACATTTGACTGATTTGATAATCCATACAAATACATAGTTACGTTATCACGTTCTTGAACAATCATATTCATTCAAGCTTCCAATGTCACGGCACAGCCAAAACATTGAAGGCTCTGGAATTAACTCAGGACAACCAGATAAAAAAATCCAAATCCCTAATTATCATCATCTCAGCCATAGGACGTCTACTGCGGAACATAGGCCTCCACCAATGCTTTCCATGTTGCCCGGATCCCTGATTAGATTAAATATTATTCTGGATCCAGTCTTATGAGTGAAGACTCATACATACACCACCATGGTCAATAAATGAAGGTACTAAGCCATTCTTTGTCCCAGCCATTTCCCATAATTTGGGGTCGGCTCTCCTCGTTTTGCAGCGCCAGGACATTCTGTCCTGGGTAGTCGAAACATTTGTCTGGGCACGCTCTAAGTCCTTGGCCACCGTGGACCACCAGATGGCCAGGAGGCATCATCTACCTTTCCTATTATTTGGCAGTGCTAAGGCCTCCCACAAGGTGGACCGACGACATCATAAAGGTAGCAGGAAAGCGCTGGACGCAGGCCGCTACCAACCGGGTAAAATGGAAAGCTTTAGGGGCGGCCTATGTTCAGCAGTGGACGTCCTATGGCTGAGATGATGATGATGATGATGATGAAGGCCTCTTTTACGATATGACCTTCGGAGTGTCTACTGATGTGACCGAACCATCGTAGGCGGCTCTGGGTGAAAGGTTCGTTGGTTCGTTCGTTTCAGCCGAAAGACGTCCACTGCTGCTGGGCAAAGGCCTCCCTAAGGTTTTACACAAAGACCGGTCCTGCTGAGCCGCCCGCATCCAGGCACCTCGACCTTCACCAGATCGTCGGTCCACCTAGTGGGAGGCCTGCCACACTACAACTTCCGGCTCGTGGTCGCCACTCGAGAACTTTTCGGGTGAAAGGTTGGAGCCGTTATATTTTGAAGATGGTAATTATTTTAATAACCTTTTCGTAAGAAACTAGGAATTGGCGGCTGACACAGAAGCTCAATAAAGCATTACACTAAATTATATATTTAATAGCGATATTTAACTTTTAAAATCCAAGTAGTTAAATGAAAATAAAAAGCAATAATACTTTAAAGTTAATTACACTTAATTACATCAATACATAAGTAATTAGGATTGTTTCAACGTTGTTTAATAACTTTTATTGCCTAATTAAAATAATATACGATAAGGTGAAAGGTGTTTGAGCATAAATTTTATTAATAGCTATGTTAATGTTAATTAAGTAGATAAGTTTTTTCCTTCTTATATCCCAACTAATATTATAAATGCGAAAGTAACTCTGTCTGTCTGTCTGTCTGTTACGCTTTCCCGCTTAAACCTCGCAACCCATTTTGATGGGCATAGAGATAGTTTGAGTCCCGGGAAAGAACATAGGATAGTTTTTATCCCGGTTTTTGAAACAGGGATGCGCGCGATAAAGTTTTTCTGTGACAGACAAAATTCCACGCGGGCGAAGCCGCGGGCGGAAAGCTAGTGATAGAATAATACCAGAATCATAATATTTTAAGTTGCTAAATTAAATATTCATTCAATATCAGGGTGATGAAAGCCAAAACTTTTTTATAATAATTATTATGATTAATAACTTAGGTACTTATCGTAGCAAGCAATATAGTTTTTTTAAACTATTGTTTGTTTCGAAATTGATAAATAAAATAAAATTTGCCCTTTCCTTCTTACATTACGTGCTTATTTTATAAATCATACAAGTATTTTTCCTTCGTTTAAACTTATTTAAACTACCACAGCAACACGTAAGATTAGTTCCGAAGAACGCCAACAGATGGCGTTACCAGTCCCGTTTCGGCGCTGACATTGTAACTTATTGTGAGCACAATGTAATAAAACTATGTCAAAGTCGAGCCGCAATATCTTAATGAACTGCTTTATCATCAAAACGACGTGTCAAGCAAAATAGTACGAGATTGAATGACACATAAATCAGTAATGATTGACACCGGGTGTCAAGTCAATAAAACACGTAACAAATTACAGCTCTAATTAATAGTTACTTATGCAATTGTTATTGGCTAAATAAATATTGTTAAAAAGAAACTGTATGAGTAATAGTATCAAAATTAATTGCAGGTCTCGCAACGCTCGTTAACGAAATACAATTCTCTTTTGTTTGTATAACCTAGATAAAATATTGTCAGTAAGAATTTATTAAGTAATTATACTTAATTTGGTATGTAGTACAACGAACTCATTAAGGAATATTTTTGAAAGGAATTTAATTTTAACGTTTCCGTGATTAATTTTTATGCAAACAAATTCTTAATTGAATGCCGTTTCTGTCACAATTAAGTATATCAGCTGGTTTATTTATCTGCCATTTAAAACATAACGACACATAGAAACTGTGATTTAACCTTTAACCGACGACGTGATTTTTTTGTCACGCCGTCTGCGACGTGCGGTCTGTGGGACCGCTATACTGTTTACTCAAAAAGTAATATTTTTTTGTATAAAAGTATATTGGTTTTATATTTTTTGAGAACATTATAGTATTACAAATAAACATACGTATAATTTGCGAGGAATCAATGTATATTTTTTATTTAAATATGGCTAAAACTTTTTTGACCCTAAATTTCATTGAAATTACACTAGAGCTCAATAATACCTATATAACTTGTAAATTTTAATCAAAGCATGAAAAACTATACTCCTTCCTAAATATAGTGAACATAATGAATAAAATAAAAATAAATGACACGTAAATTACATGCACAAAAAAAATGACGTAGGGTAAACATCAGGCAAAATCAGGACATTTTTTTTACCGCATGCCAAGCATTTTCGGAATGCATAGGTAACACCTGTAACATAATTTCGTTTTCATTTTAGGTGGACTAAAATGTACGTCTTTTTTGCAGCTGGTGCAATGACATCAGGCTGATTTGGCATGTCAGAGCCTAGAATACATGTCACTGTTTGCTTTACCACCCGTTTCGCGGTATTTTTTTACAGAATACCATCTTTTACATAATATTATGTTCAAATATCAATATATCATTAGGAAATGTCTTTTCCTAGGTTGTGGTGGCCCAGGATCCATCATTTTTACGAAAAATTAGTCGTCTAAAACAAAAACGCCAGTTTCAGTATGGTACAAAAATGTCACGTAGTCTGCGACGTGCGGTCCCACAGACCGCTGTTGAACTTTAAATCGAATTATCTTATTAAAACTGCCCTCGTCGATGTAACCACTACCTGTAATGGCGTTTGGGCAACTAAACTCGAAGGTACTGAGACGCTCGGGACACGGGAGTAAGTAGAACATTGCAATCCAGAAAATTCAAAAACCGGAGCGGTCTGTGAGACCGCACCTCGTCGGTTAAAGGTTAAGAACCAACAAAACGATTTAAGCTCATCTTTATTCACGAGATGCGCATTAGTATATTAATATAAAACATGTATCAATATAAATTCTGTGGCAATAAAAACGAAATCGATTAACGCGTAAGAAAGTAGATGGCAGCGTTGTACTATTAATATCTCATTAACTAAAACTGAATTATTCATGAACGAAACGTGTTATAAGTTATAACAAACAGAGTTAAAAATTTAAAACACAAGCAATTTTTCACAATAACCCATTTTATTAACACGTATCCCGGCATCTGTTTTCGATTACTTTATCACCTGCCGGGCGCGACCGATTACTCTTTTGACAGTTGAATTTTCGACATGACATGAGCCTAATCAAAATAGCATTTATTAAAAAAGCTTGACATTAACAAGGCTGACAGCCCACGGCTTTGTTATTAATGAGTTTGGGCGTCTCGTGTACTCTTACCTTTTTTACTCTTTGTGATTTTCAATGAAATAAATTTTGTTGGCGCTCGGTGTGGGTGGCTCGCGCCGAGTTATCACGCTGCTTAGGCTCTCGTTGATTGACGGCTCTAATGTGTGTTAGAGGTACATTAATCAATCATCCTGCCGGTTTATTACAGCTTTGCGAGAGGAAAACGGCAGTCGACTGACGTTGATAAATTTATTTACTGTATTTGATTTCTAATTTCGTGTCGGTTGACTTAGCAAATTATTATTGATGTTTTGCTTTTTGTATGGTCAGTACGGGTGTCAGAATTATGTTTTATTGTAGGTAGTTCTTGTTGAATTTCCAGCTCTTTATGTAATGCGTTGCCTATTCTGTATATATTACTGGTATTTATTTTATTTTGACTTTCGCTGGATACTTTTCTCTTGATTTAAAATGCAATTGAATTCACCAAATAAAGTATGATTGCTTGAAGTGTCAATTGCGGTTGTAATACAGCATTTGATCAGGTATTAATAAATAAAATGAACTTGTTATTGTGATGTAGATATTATATTTGAAATAATTCATTTAATATTAAACATAGAGATTATTATTTACACAAATCATTTGGCTGTACAGAGTCCTCACATTGCTCAGACACAACTCGCTTTGAAGCTACTCCATCGGCAAGTTACTTACATAAATACTATATTTAGATTGCACTAATCACTAAATTTGTCATGGCGCGACAAGCCGCACAATGTTTTAGAGTCTATCAATATCACAGAAGAAAATTGGACAACACGATATTAAATTATGAATCAGTCCAATCAGTCCAGGTTTGCACTTCACTTTAGGCTTATTGGTGGACGGCCGCTGCGCCCAGTCTCTGGCCGTACATCGCGTACGGGGAGTAGAAGGGGCCAAGTGCGGGGTTGAAAGCACCGTAAGGAGAACCACCTAGGCTCGCTGGGAGTCCCGCCTTTGAGTACGGGTGGTACCGGCTTGCTGAGAGGGGGCTCAGCGGTGCCGTCGGGTAGGCACTCCTCAATCCAGCGGTTGTGAAAAGAGGGTTCAACGGGTTCAGCAATGATGGCTGAGACGACGACACGGTCGCGGGTGTTGAACCGTCCGTCGTGTGGCTCCTCAGGTGCTGTAACAGCTCCTCGGAATTACCGAATCTCTTTCCACAGTAGGACTCGCCGACGATCCAATTGCAAACGTACGGCCGACTTAGCTGGGGGTACGGGAGACCACCGGCGGCGGCGGCGGCTGCCCCCTGCTGGGAGAGCGCCATCGCCATAGCCAAGTTGTATTTTTGATGTTCACATTGCGTGCAGCCGGCGGGACACGATCCGTTGCTCATTAGCAAGTGGTGGTTGTTAACTGAGAATTGGCATCCAGTGCAGTAGGGGTCTTTGCATACTGGCACTAACGTTTCGCCGCCGGCCGGTGTTTTTACTCGTGCATAGCCGAGATAAGGGTTCGGGGATGATCCGGGGAATGCAGCGGCAGCAGCCAACATCGCTGCATGGTGTGCACTGAATGGGGCACCGGCATAAGGAGGTCTAAAGGCCGGGTTTCCATGTTGCTCCATTCCGGGCGGGCAGCAAAGTCCAGTCAGGGGGTTAAATCCAGGCAGGCCGGGTAAGTTCTTGAAAGCACCAAGGTGATCCTTCCCGTGACCTAAAACTTCTAATCCGGAGCGGATAATTGGGCTAGTACCGGATGATCCCGCCGGTGAGGATTTAGCGTCATTTGAAGGACTGCTCTTTCCATTTTCTGTAGTTGGCGGAGTTGATTTCCTGCCAGGAGTACTTTTTCCAGATTTCTTATCATCAGAACTGTCTGAGCTGGCCTTTGAGGATGGGCGGGCTTCCTCAGGTTTCTTGGAAACAACATTTGCTTCATAAGGTTTGAACGCGAGGTGTTTGTTATCCGGGGTGGAACGGGGTTTGTCCGGTTTCGCGTTTGTTGGAGATGAACGGCTGATAATTTCACTATTTACACTAGTCACTTTTTTCTTGTCCAACGGGGGCAGCAGAGGTTTGGTAGGAGTAGTATCCGCACCAATCTGGCTGCATGTTTGCGCTAAAAGCGCAAGCGGGCTTTTCTTCGAGTCCAACTGTAACAAAGAAAAACTTAAATTAGCATTTCAAATAAAAAGGAAAAATAATTTCTTCGACTCCTGTATCTAAAAATATTTTTTAACAATTTTTTTTTTCAAAGTCAATGTTTTGAATTTTCTCAAATATTTTTGAAATTCCCAAAAACATTTAAATTATACTTACAGAGGACGGAAGAGGCGCCAGATAATCAGGCTGAAGGTATTGATTAGGATTGGTAGTCATCATTCCTCCGTCTTCAAGCACCACCATTTGGAGATAAACTTTTACGATCACTTGTAAACTTCACGGTGTAGTCACGAACGCTCTGGCAACACAACTACTCTGTGACACGGTTCCGCGGAATGCGAGCGACGCGTGCGTTCAGGGCGGCGGGCGAGACGACTGTGAGAGACCGGACCCCACCAGCGGCCGGCGAGCCGCTGCCCCGCGCCCCTCGCGTCGAGCGACAAAGACGGGTAGATCTTAAGTCTTTGTTAGAGCGGGAGCGTTATATCTCTCCGCTGCAGCGCTCGGTCATAAAAAACAAAGCGGAAACGACACATAGCTGCATTGCGGTAGGGGAAAAAGGAAAGGCGGTATGGCCGGGTGCGGATTGAGACGTGCGATGGTGTTGGTGGCTCGCCACCCATGACGGCCGCTTTGAGCCGCCGCCGCGAGCGTGACTCCGCGTCTACCTGCCCCAGCTCAGCGCAGCACCGAGCTTTTTGTTCGACGCCACTCTTATTACGCCTTTTCTTTCACGTTTAACTACTCAAACTACTTGCATTTACGAGCCGCTTTGTAGAACGGTTCAAAGGGGAAATCTCAAGTCTCAAACTTTGATGTATGCTCGCATTCCGTGAGATTCTGTTTCATGTTTATTGACAACGCTAAGTCCATAACGTTAATGTTAATCCGACACTAAAACCTGTCAAACACGGCTCGTTCAAACGGGCCCTCCGTAGCGATCAAATTAAATATGTCAATTTGGGAACCCATATCAACAGCTGCGAACGACGGCGGGGCCTTTAGAAATATTGCTTATTGTGTCCAAACAAAGATACTAAGTATAACGTATGGGCGGACGACAGAGGTCGTAAATAACGCCGCGGGCTGTAATATATTTGACAGTGCGCGGACACGCGAAACAAAAAACATGTTTATAGCGAGATCGGGTCTGGCGCGGGTTATATAAATTAGGGACGGTGCCATTTTAGTGTTTGTTCAGGCGCCTGCTCGGTCTAGTCCGTGAGCTGTGCGATTGAAATGTTCTAGGATGGTATTTGTGTATTGTTCGCTGCCGTGTTGCGGGTTAAGGATTGTGGAACTTGCTTTGTTTGATTATGTTCCTTTTTGTACAGCTTTTGTGTATTTTTTATTTTGGGGACTTTAAACTGACTGACTCAACTTCGAGTACCTATTTGGGTTTTTGGCGATCACATGTAATTCGGTAATAACAAAATTGTTCAACTTAACGTTTGGTGAATGGATTGGTATTTTTGGAAAATTTTAGAATTTATATTAAACACTGGATTTTAGACATTACTTAATGCGTCAGTTGCAAGATATATTTTAATTGATTTTATCATTTAATGGTCTACTTTATGTACTGGATATACTAAAAAGAAAAAACACTGATAATTTTTTGTCTGGTAAATATTGGGTAGGTAACCTTTAAAGCGTAAAATATGTCTATTAAATTTTCCAATTAAGTAACAAGCTTAGTCATCTGATGCAGAAAACGGCATTTTCCCCCTGATTGATTTGCTATACAATTGTTAGTTAATCCCTGCCCACATAATCTCTGCCACAAGTTGTCCAGACAACAATGGCGACTGCTCTGCGTACTGTCTCGTCCAGCGGTTCCTAACCTGGGACTTGGGGGTTCAGGATCATAATCATCATAGGAACATAGGCCATCCCTGATGATTTATATATTGGCCGCTTGGTAGCAGCCTGCATCTAGCGCCTTTCTGCTACCTTTATGAAGTTGTTTGTCCACCTTGAGTGGACGTGAATTCTAGGGTTCAGATGGCCGATTTTAGAAATCCTTGGATAAATAGAATTTGAACAAGGGATTTTGATACAAACAAGGGATTTGTTAGTAGGTTAGTGATCCACTCAGATTTTTATAGAGTCCGCAACTAATACAATATTTTTAAGGATCAGCTGTTGGAAACCAAAGTCTTTAGTTATGATAGCATTTCAAAAAATTTCGGTTATCATATAAACAAGGATTAGTAAGTAGGTAACTACTCAAATTTTTGTAGATCCACGATTGATCAGCAATCTTTTAAAGATCTGTAGTTCGAAAAAGTTTAGGAACCACTGATTCTAGTCTTTGGCGTTACGAAAACCAATTTCCTATCCCAATTAGATGCCGATAAAGGAGCCTGTTCACGTGTAAACAACCACAATTACACAGGCCGAGGAAAAAGGGCCGAAAGAAGCGGGATAGGGCTGCCTGTGAATATTTTTATAAGATAATTATAATGGTTATTCAAAATTTATTAAAAGATAAGGCTTGATGAAGCAAAAATGCTAAATTGATTGTTGATTAAGCTAATGATGTAGGTTTCATTCGTATTTTTACTTAAATTATGCAAGTTATTAACGAGCATTGCATATTTATTTTCATTTAGATGTAAAAATATTCAACTTCTAGCGTTACTATGATTTCGAGAAAGAAGTTGCTGTATAAAGTACATAATGTAGAGCTCTAGAAAGTGTTACATCTAAAATTATAAATTATTATAATTATACTAAAACCTCATCTGAACAACGATGCTCATTAATAATAATGAGCAGATGTAGGTATAGGAGATATCCAGAAGATTTTCAGAAAAAAATAGTGATCTTAAACTTACTTACTACAAGTAATTTATTTATGTATTAGTTTTCAACATATTTTGTGTATGAAATTAATATTGTAAACGGATGTGCACGGCATCCGAAACAGTTCGCATGTTGACTACAAATTAGCATATTCACGTCAATCCTGATGTTTGTTTTCTTTGCCTTTTAGTCATTGTGTCCCACTTCTCGAAAGCAGCAACCCTACAGAATATCTAGTTTCGGCGTCCCGGCTCCCGTCCTATTGTGCGGCAAGATCAAAGTTTCGGCTGTTTGCCGGTAGTGATGCAATCGATGTATCGTTAGTTTGTTTTATCGATGGTTGTCTCAATGTTTACGACCTGGAAATAACGTTTCAACGTTAACTTTTCTAATTCTTTATAGTCCTTGAATCTGTTAATTCTCTTGCTAGAAGTTGAAACTTAACGATCATAAGTTTTATTGGGTAAAACTAGTCTGAAATACGAGTACATCTCAAACAGGAAGAAACTTTAGTGATCGTTATGTTAGTTAACTTACTCGTACTTCATCTCCTTCATAATTTTCAATCTAAAACTAACTACATTTCAGTCTTAGGTTTTTTGATTTACTATGAATATAGACGCTACTTTAACTAAGCAAAACTACAGATGTGTTTGATTCTGACAAAAATATCAGTAATTTAAATTAACTCGCACGTAACATCAGTAAAATCAAGACGTCAAGAGCTATTATGCTTTCAATATTAAATCACTGCCATTGAAACATAAAACCAGTTTATCGACATCCAATACCGACAGCACTAGCTCGTAAAAACTTGACAGGCCCGACACAGCCCCTTTGAAGTGACGGTGCATTAACATCGCGGTAATGAGTCGGCACCTAAGTCGGCTCTCTGATCTGTTTTGACGGATGTATTGTATGGACCGTGTTTTAAAGTATTATATGACAATGTTAGTCGTACGTCAAGTAGAGACAACACGTAGGTAGAGCTATAATTAAGTATTTTCGTTTCAGCCAAATGACGTCCACTGTTGGACAAAGGTCTCCCCCAAGGTTTTCCACAATACACGGTCCTGCGCTGCCCGCATCCAGGCTCTTCCCGCGATCTTCACCAGATCGAATTAAGACACGTCAAGACAGACAGAATTAAGCATTGCAGAAATTAAATTCACAAGGTGGACCGAAGACCTCGTATAGGTAGCAGGAAGGCGCTGGATGCAGGTCGCTGCCAACCGGGTGATGTTGAAATCATTTGTTGTTCAGCAGTGGAGGTCCTGTGGCTGAAATGATGATGATGATGATGATGTAAAATTCATTCTGGTATTGATGCAATCTGTGATATGATGAACCGTTTAAAATAAATCTTGTGTAATCTGGGTGTGCCTTACTACCACTGTTACTAAGTACTACTTGTTTTTCTAGCCTTATGTGGATCTTTACTTATATTTGTATTGATTGGTATCCTAATTTCAAAGTTAGTCACCTGATTAGTAGCTGTAGCTGACACCAAAATTAGCCTTACGTCATTCCGTTTCAGCCAAATGACGTCCACTGCTGGACAAAGGCATCCCCCTAGGATTTCCATTACGAAAGCTCCTGCGCTGCTCTTATCCCTTTATTTAAATCTAATACTCCGTATTTTCTTTCCGCCTAACCAAAACTACTAGCTAAGAACACTACTAGCTACGACTCAAAAATGTATGCAGTCATGATAAAGTCATTATTTCGACTTCAGACATGCATTTTTAAAATCAATTTGCTGTCGGGGAAGGCCCACTTTACAGCCCCATATAATGTTTGACCATTCTGAATGTCAATTTTACAGCCGGACCCCCAGGGTGGAGGCGGCCCCATAATAAAACAATCCACCCCATTCAACCCCTAATTGCTATATTTATAGCCGCTTTAAAGTTTTATCTAGACACAGAGATTACCGCGGCTTTGCCCAAGTGGTATTTTGACACAGACAAAACAATTGCTATGAAATTAGGGATGAAAAAGTAAGTTAGCAAGTCAGTCTGTAGTCTATCTACGATTGCTCAACGTTTGGGAAAACACAAATTTTGTTTTTATTGCAATATTATAGCAACAAAGGAAAAAAATCTTGAACTAGGAATAAGTAAATGTTCGATTTAAAATAACTATGGCAGCATGCATCTAAAAATGTAAAGGTTGATTAAAAGTAAGTCAAATGGATAAGTGAATGGATTCAATTATTCAACAGAATCAGGATAATTTTTCCATCAAGACAGTGTATTCCATGCTAAAGCTAATAATAAGTAGCTAAAATAAATTCAGTGCAGCTATCTCATTCTTCATTCATTCTCATTCTCTGTCAAACATTTTACACCTGCAGTCTGTGGTGTGACTTCACGCAAAAGACCTATAACGCTCTCAGGGTTCAGTACAACAATGCCTTCAGGATGCTGATGGGGCTACCAAGGTTCTGCAGTGCTTCGACTATGTTCGCGGAAGCGCGTGTAGATGACTTCTACGCTATCATCCGTAAACGAACGGCGTCGATGCTTGCGAGGATACGGGAAAGCGCCAACAGCATCCTGTCGGTTATCAAAGATAGGCCATCGTGTCCCA